TGTTTGGAAGTGTCAGCCTTTGGGCACGTTCAGCAGTTATGCGGAGAACAGAAGAACTTGAAGAGAACATAGTGCTACAGGTACGCGAGAAAGTTAGGAAATCTTTGTAGTATTTTCAGACACTGGATGAGTCTACTGATCTCTCAAGTACGTCACAACTTCTCGTGTTCATTCGTGGTGTCAATTTGGACTTTCAGATAACGGAAGATTTGGCATCCGTTTGCTGCACGCATGGAACAACAACTGGAAAAGACATTTTCATAGAAGTGTAGAAAACTTTGCAAGACTATAACCTATATAAGTTTCGAGGTGTTACAGTTGATGGAGGACAAAACATGGATGGGTTTGGTCGGGCAGATCAGGACTCAGTTGGAAGATTTGCAAATTCCGGGAGTTCTGTTCATACACTGCATCATACATCAGCAAGCATTCTGTGGGAAATATTTGGATATTTCTTGTGTACTGAAACCAGTCATTTCTGCCGTGAACTTCATTCGGGGACATGTACTCAATCACCGTCAGTTCCAGGCTTTTCTTGAAGAAATTGATTCTGATGATTTGCCTTATCACACATCAGTGAGGTGTCTCGGATGCGGTAAAGTCCTGTTTCGTTTTTACAAGCTCCGAAACGAAATAGATGTTTTTTCCTGCTTAAAAAGATAGAGATGATCCACAGCTGTCAGATTCTACCTGGCTGTCAAAGTTGTCATTTTTGGTCGATATCACATCCCACATGAATGAACTGAACTTGAAATTTCAGGGAAAGGATAACATCGTCATTGATTTCTACAGAATAATCAAAGAATTTCGGAGAAAGCTGTCATTGTTTGAAGCACAACTGGAAAAAGAAAACTTCTCTCATTTTCACTGTTTCAAAGAGTTTTGCGCTACAATTATTGAAGATGTCAACCTCGATTTTCTTAAAAAGATTATAGGTGACCTGAAGAAGCATTTTTTGAGAGATTTTCAGATCTCGACAGAATTGAGAGTGATTGATATTCTTCTGTTCCAGAATCCGTTTGATTGTAACCTTGATGATGTGCCAGTTGAACTACAGTAGGAGCTCATTGATTTTCAAGCAAATGACTTGTTGAAAGAGAAGTACGGAGAAGAAAAATTTGTTGAATTTTACCACGTCTTACCTGATAATGAGTTTCCGAAATTGCAGAAATTTTCCGTTAGTATGGCATCATTGTTTGTGACAATTTATGTCTGTGAGCAAACATTTTAAAAAATGAAATATGTGAAATCAACACATTGAACGAGATTGACTAATGAACATTTGAAAGCAATTCTCTTGATTGGATGCAGCAATTCCAAACCAAACATTGATGATGCCTTGAAAGCTAAACGTAAGTTTCATTAATTTCATTAACCTTTTTGGCTGTTTAGTTTGTAAGATTCGGATATGTGCACACTAGGTCTGATGTAAATTTTTGCTAATGTCGCCTCCTCTCAAAAAAAAAAAAAAAAAAATTCACATAGGCTTGCTACTTTTCTTTCCTTCTTTTTGGCTGACCAGCTAATTTCTGTGAAGGCAAGGTTTTCATAGGTCCAAAAACAATTTCGCATAGGTTTGCGGATTCCTTCCTTTCCACTTTTCGGTTCACTGGTCAATTTCTGTGAAGGCAAAGTTTCCATTGGTCCACAGAAAATCTTACATAGGCTCGCGAATTCTTTTCCCTCTTCTTCCTCAGCTCACCCGAATTTGAAAGGAGTGAATGAAGAGAGCTATTATTATTTCACACCCACTACACTTTCTTCTCGCATTTCTTTATTACCTTGTCTAGGAGGTCCTGTAATTTTCTTTCTTACTAGTATATATATATATATATATATATATATATATATATATATATATATATATATTAACTTTTGACTGGTGATTAATGAAATTTTTAGTCTTAGTTTCAGTACACTTTTTTCATGTTTGTAAAAGGTAAAACACTTATTATTATTTCTATTTTATTGTTCTATCTTTTTATCACAATACTTGATATTATGATGAGTAGTGAGTTCAGTCCTCACTGGGTGCCCCATACTTACAGCCTTGTGCCACATCTAAGCCACTCTTAGCAATTTTACCATCGTACTGTAATGCTTAGAAAGCTTGTTTTCAACTGCTAAAGAAAACAACGCGAACTCAGAAATAAAAACTGTTCCATATAGCGGAAGCTTCCACTACGTAGAACAGTGATTTCCAAAGCGTAGATGTAACACAAGGCCACAAGTATGGCGCATCCAATGACGATTGCAAGTATGGTGTACCAAGTGAGGATCGAAATCACTACTCAGTTCTAATTGCTATAGTGAGATAAGTTTGTTAACCATTACACTGTTGCGGATTTAAATCAACCCACAACAAAGTAAAGGACAAAAATGGAGTTTAAATATAAAATATCTTTATTTTCATGTTTCTACAATTAAATTCACGTGGAACTGTTGACGTCTGTTTCGCCTTACTAGTTTGTCCGTCTAGAAAATTCAAAGGAATCACTAAGCATGTTTTTTTTTTTCATTATTGTTGGCGGGATCGTGACACGTTAGTTCAAAAATGTTGAATATTTATTTTCAAAGCATTAATTTATTAACCGGAAGGATGCACAATCCTCCGACTCTGAAACAATATTTTGTCATTTGGTGTTTGACTGTTTTGGTGTTTATTTCTGTCTTCTCTCCACAACATCACAGATAAGTACTTCTCTACTACATAGAATAGACACTAAAATCCCCATAGAATTTTTAACTTAAGTAAGAAGATCGTAGCATATTAACTCAGCTCGATCTGTGCAAAAAAAAAATGATTGGGTATCACTACCAAAATACATCGACAGCAATTCAACAAACAAACTGAAAAGCACGTATCTGTAGGGGACCCCTCGAGCGCCCCCGTATCACAAAAGGGTGATGAGGTCACAAGATACCCGCTAACATTTCGAAGACGTTAAATCTGATAAGGTGAAACAACATAGATGACAGAACGAGGATATATAGGATATATGCTACTTTTTTCTAGAAAAGAAATAAAGGTGGTCCGAAAGGTAGAGACGCTGACGTTCCGGTGCAAGCATTGATGGTCGAGGTTGGTCGTTGCAGATGATCGCTGCTGGTCGCGCAGGTGGTCGCTGCTGGTCGTTGCATATCTCTGTTAGTCCTTTTCTCGCCAGACTCAAATGATAATGACTTCTATTGCAATTGTTCTATCAGGGTTTTCATTAATTTACAACTTTATTGTGCCATGTCGAAAACTCACCAACTATGAATAAACTCTCACTAACATTATAGAGTTGCCACGAAGTCGTTGCCGCAACAACATTTTTAAAATCATATCCATCCGTTATACTTTGAACTCATTTACACTAGAGATCGGTAGTCATGGTGATGCTAGCACAACTAGCGGTTGTTGGGGCTGAGCAATTTTGGGCTCTGGCTCGGGTGTACACACTCAGATTTTACAATTTACAGACTGTTTTCATCTCAATCGGTTATGTGTTATTTGTCCTCCTGCATGGCAGTGAGTGCTGGACGATCTTCCCAAAGATAAAGAAGAGACTTGAATCGACAGAAATGTGGTTCTTCTGAAGGATGCCGAAGATACCATGGACTGAATATCTAAACAACGACGAAGTTTTAGAGAAAATGGAAACAAAAAGGAAACTTATACTTAACATCAGGAAGAGACAGTTGAAATTTCTAGGGAAAAAAATGAAGAAAGAGGGCTTAGAAAATCTGATACTCACTTGATTGAAGGCAAGAGGAACAGAGGAAAACAACGCATAACATATTTAGTAAGCTTGAATAAATAAATGGCGGAATAGGGTTTAGGTGAAATAGCAAAAAGAGAAAATTGATTAAGAAGAACTACAAAGGACAGGAAATTGTAGAGAGCCATGATTGCCTACGTTCCGAGGGGACACGGTATAGAAGAAGATTGGTGACATCAGATTTTCCATAAAGTGACAATTCAAAACCAGATAATTCCTATTTCACTACACCTCAATAAAAATCAAAATGTTTTATTAATTTAACAGAACTTTACTGGACAGTATTTTCCCCTATCTTCAGTTACAAAGTCAACATGCATTAAACATGAACATTTATTTATTTTAGAAATGTCTCTGCAAACCCATGATAAATGAGTCTCTATATTAGTTTTAAAGAAATGTAGTCAGACGTAGAAAAAAGACAGACAGAAAGAAATTGGAGGACAGACAGAACTTTAAGAATATCATTTATTCTTTCAAAGATGATTAAAAAAATCATCAAGTTGTTTTATTTACTTTTCTCCAACTTGATACATTTGCATAAAATTTGACCAAGACTACATTTTTTATTGGTTGCCATCAGAAGTTTTTTAAATGGTGTACAAAAAGTTATAAACTCAGTTATATGTTCAAGTTTTTATTAAGCAGTCATTTAAAAAAAATTGTTCTTTATTATTTGAGGGCATTTAGAATAAGAAATAAAATCAATTTTTATTTTTAACTAAGTCTTGAATCAAAGGCTTCAATTACTGAAAAACACTTTGTTTTTTTTTCAATGTTTGAATTTTGAATAGTTTTTGAATGATATTTTCATTCATTTTATTGTAAATTAAATAAAAAGAAAATAAATACACATACACACTCATTTTATATGTAGTTTGCAAATATTTCATTTAACCAAAAAATATTATACTGTGCCTGATCTGAAACTTTCAAAAGGTGTGAAAGCTGATTTTCGGGAAGAAAATTAAAATACAAATACAAATAAAATTTTATTTACCAAATGAATTTTAGGATTAATTTTAGTTCACGTGCTTTTCGTTTCCCCATTTCAAGTTTTAGTAATAACCCGATCGGTCCGCACCAAAAAACGACACGTAGTTTTATGCTTTTATTTTTTATATCATACAAAAACGAAAGAAAAAGATCAGCTGAATGAAAACAGCCTGTTTAATTGGATGCTAATTTTAAGAACGATCTAATTATACCTCACTAAAGATTTTTCTTTTCTCTGAGATCTTTACACATTATTTCTTGTATACGTGCGCCGGTGTCAAGCGAAAACTTCAACAGCTTCCAGTGAAATTGTTGTAGCCATGGCGTCTTGTGGCTTGCTTGCGAAAACTGACTTTCCTCTTTATACTGTCCGGGCTTTGGACGAGAAACATTTTTTAGTGGCTGGTGGAGGAGGACCTGTAAAAACCGGAGTAGCTAATGCTTTGGTATGTTTCTTTCTCCTAAGTATCTCTTTGTTTTGTTTTTCCAGTTTCTATACACGCTGTTTTACTTCTTCCGATCGCTACTTGTTTGTAAATGTAAAAAAAAAAAATGTGATAGATTAAGAAGATAATTGTCAGGCTCATCTGGTAATGATGTGTCTTTTCTTTTTATTTTTTTAACTAACTAGCTTGTGTTTGAGCTTACAGATTCTTACTTGGGCTTGGAGCTAGTCTTGTACATCAATATGACATCTTGTTTCATTTGTAAATAATCAATATTTTCAGTTGGTGGACTAGAGTTTTCGTTTTTTATGTTTTGCTCAGCTAATAAAAAGATGTTAGCTTTTTTTGTAATGATCCGAGACAAGTGTACAAAACCTTATTATTAACTTATTCGCTTAGATCACTAACATTTTATTTTCAGTACAAAATGTATGTTTATATTCGGTTTATTTTATTTTAATTTCATTTAATTTCTCTATTAATGAAAGTGATAAAAATGTGGCTCATTTGGTAAAGACGTCGTTTAAAATTTCAAACAGAGCCCCAGAGTTGAGTCATGAAAATTGTTTTTTTTTAAACACTTTAAACTTCACTCCTGATCCTATTTGGTGCCTTTGTGCAAGTTTCATTTTTGTAGCGATTAATTTGTTGCTCATTATTCGGGCGCTAAAACAATATAGTTCGAATCTTAAGACTAAGAGCAGTTTTTTACAGGCTTGTCTAGCAATGACATGTTAAAAATGAATCTAGTTTAGGATCGAGCTAGTTTTTTTAGACTCTTTATTATTTAAGATCTTCATGTAATAATTAATTCAAAATCCATTTCATTTGATTGTTTTAAGAGATTCGTAATAAATAACTCCTAAAGAAAGACAGATGGTTCAGGTTACTCTTTTCTTTTTTTCAGGTATCTTTTTAAAGAAATATTTATTTTTTTATTTTGATTAGAGAAATGATGTATTTATTTTTTTTAAAGAATTCACGGTACATAAAGTAAATATTTTAAAGTCTTTTTTTTTTCTAATTTAACGATATTTTTAAGTGTTTCCGAAGTCCTCCCCTTCAATGTAAGTAAATGTTACCTGTTTTTCCCTTCGCTATCTTCGTGTGAAATGGCATGTGCTTGTTACACTCTAATTGACAACTGAGTGATCTATCTTAACTCGTAGTGAGCACGAAGGAAAAAGAATAGATTTTTAGAAAACATAAAAGTAATATTTCTCACCTAGACATTTTAAATTTTAAAATCATTTTTGTTTGACTGACTCTGATATCGGTTAATAATCGTACCAAAAATGCTTAATTATGTTTAATTTTTAATCTCTTAAAAATGTGATCGTTGTCAAGTTTAATGTCAACTTAATAAAAATGTATTTTTCTATTATAATTAGAGAATGACAAGAACTTAAATAGGAAGAAAAACAATACATTTGAAAATTACGCCTTTTGTTAAATAGTTTTTATTTTTATTTTATTTTTAAGTGCAAAAAAAAAAAATAAACAAAAACTAGTCCACCTTACTACTTTTTCGGTCCAATTTAAAACCACCATTTATTTAATTTTAAAATTTATAAAATGATATTTTAAAAATGCATTTGAGATTTATTTTCTTTTTTTTTTATAAATTGTTTTAAATTTCTAGTTTTATTTTATTCTTTTTTTTAAGAATCTAGAGACATGTCTTACTCTTAATCTAAAAAAAGAAGTATATTGTTTTTTATGTAGAGCAGGGGAAAAACTAGTTTTCTTTTGAAAAGAATTTTTAGAAACCTTTAAAGCAGTGTGTGAAAAATCACAAGAAACCTGTTTTCTCCAAGCATTTCATTTAATGCTGTCCTATTTTGGTTAAAAAAAAAAAATCATTGTTTCTTTCTTTTAAAACTTTTACTTGTAGAAAAATCATTGTTAAAACAGAGCAATGATTTACTTTTTTCTTTTTTTAAATCGAAAAAAAAGCCCCAAATATGTGTTTATTAATAATAGCTAAAGGATCCAAACGAATTAAAAACAGGAAAATAAAACAAAAAAAAATAAAAATAAAAAAATACCATCACTATTCAATTTGGAACTTATATCCCAAAGTAATGGATGACTGCATCTGTTGTTTTTATTTAAACCACAACAAACAAAAAACAGAATGATCTGTTGGTACAGTATGTAAATGCCAAAATGTAAAAATTAATCTGTCTCGGTTAACTTTGGACATAAATATTGATGCTGAAAGATTCGATTGCCCTCTAGTTTCATTGTGATATCAGAAAATAATCCACTTGCTTTTCTCACGAAAATCACAAAGTGAAAGTATAGTTGAAATAACTTTTTAACAAAGTGAAGACTAAAGAAAGATCTTTTCTTTTTTGATGATTTGAAAACGTGACAGACACCATTTTTTACGCGACTAGTTTAAAAAATAAAATGTTTTGTTTGACTTTTGAGTAAGGTGTAATGTCGGTCTAAGGGGTCTTGATAGTGGCGACTGCTTGCTTTATCTGTTATTTTGGTCCTGTCTCACCTGTCATAAAAACAAAAAATAACTCTGGTCTGGTTGTTGTGAACATTTACGTGTCACAACATTTCTACGGAAACATCTGTGAACTGCATTAAATTTTTCTTCTCATTGCCATAAAATAACTTATGTGTGTTTATGTGTATTTTTTATGTTTATTTCGTGTAAAGCCTCTGCTTAGCAAAGTCTTTAAGCAATTTCTACTTATCAATAAGCTTTTTTGCTTCTTTTTATTTTTTGTTTTTTTCAATTCCAAAGTTCTGATAGAACCATTTGTTTCATCTAAGACTTTGAGATTAATAAGTTTTTTTTTATTACTCGGTTTCTTTTTTTCTATTCATTCAGTCGGTATTAGCGTAAAAAAAAACAAACATAGAATTTACCCAATAAAAACATAGAATTCGATCATCAGTCTCTCTGTAAATTGAAGATTTTGTATCCCCACGTCATCGACCGACGAGAGTCAGAAATTTTCTGATAAAAAAGGCTGAAAATGTTCTCAAATTTCAAATGTTACTTAAGTTCAACAAAGTAAACCTTTCATAATTTTTTTTTCTACTTTTACGGGGCCTTTCTATATGGATGTCCTTTTTCTCCCTTTTTAAAGAAAAACCTTAAAAATCTGTGCTAATAAACAATGACAACAGTAACGCCCAACAGCATCCGAAAAATGTGCTAATTTTTGGTTTCTTCAACATTTCTTTTGGCTTAAGTTATAATCTAAGGTTTAAAATTACTGATGACATTTTGGTTTGAACTATTTTATTAATGAAAATATCAGGGGAGAATCTTCTTGCAGGCCTTACGGAATTAAAAGTTCCTACATTGGCTTTCCATAACTTTTTAAAACAAAAACACTCCCATTTGTTGACAGAGAAGGATGTTTTCTTAAATTCTATTTTGAATATTTCTCCTCTGATGGATTTTTTTCCATCTCGAATCAACAGTTTCTTAGATTTAAGCTATATTTTTATTTTATTTTTCGTTATTGTTTTGATGACTTTGGATAGCAAGAAAGCAGTGGCCGAGCAGGGATAAAAACCACATGAAGCTGATCAATTCCTGCTAAAAATTAATATTGCCTTTTAGTTTTGATAAAAAAATCTATGACTAACTAACTGGAAATGGCTCTCTGATGTTTTCAGACAGGAGACTATTAAAAGTAAGTTTGTCTTTTAAAAATAAATAAAAAATCTCGCAACTTCAGTGATATCGGATATGGTTTCGTTTAGCAAACTTATTTTTCTTGTAATGATGAAAATTACTTTTGGTTTGGGGGTTTTTATCGTTAGAATTTGGTGAAATTTCTAAAATTGAAAAACTTGGACAAATAACTTGGTAGATTTGTTTTAGTGATATATTTTCAAATGTTTTTTTTTTTCTTAAGAATTTTTTTTACCTCATTGTCTTCTAATTGTTCCTTCTTTTTTTTATTAACTTTAAGAGACTAACAAGGTTTAAAAATTGGCCAAATGAAAAACAAACTTTCCTGAAATCAACTTTAAACAGACTCCAGTCACCCGAATCATTTATTTGGTTGTAAAATAAAAATAAAAAATGACTTTTTTTTATCTCGACTCTTCCAGAAGAATGAAATTTTAGTTAAACTATTTAAAATAATTTTTGTGATATGTTTTTCTTTTAAATCAAAGCATACTTTTTATTTTTTCTAAACAAATTGGATCCAATGTGTTATAATGACTTCTTTGATTTAAGTTTATATTTTGGCTACAGATTAAGAGAGTTACAGTTATTGTATTTTTTTTATATAGAAATATGATTTCACCCTATTTAACTGAACTTGAAAATATCTTGAGTTTTCTTTGACAGGTGAGTAGGGCACGGACAATAAATCAATTGCTAGTAAAAAGTCACTCACTAAACATGTGATTAATTTTTAACAAGACCTCATTGCAAAGCTTTTAGGATTAATTAATAATTGATTACAGATTTTTACCTGAAAATGTACAGACACCAGGTAACTGAAAGAAAATTAAATTAAAAAAAAACAGTAAATTTTGAAAGTCTTTCTACACATTTTCAACTTCAAAAAAAACAAAAACAGGTAAAGGTTATTCAGTAAAATTTCAGCTTCCAGGACTGCCTCAAGGCAGTGTCTGAAGCAAGTGCATGCTTGCGTCAAGTATTGCCCATAGTGACCATCACATCTTTAATGGTGATCTTTAACAAGTTCTTAGTCTTCTTGTGAGAGCCCACTGGTTATCTGGTTATTCTCCCTCTTGACAATACCCAGAATTTAGTAGTCCATGGGATTCAGACCAGAAGAGCCTAGAGGCAGCAATTTGTTATAAAAAGTTAATAAAATCCAGAAAAATAGTCTTACAGAACTTTATATTTGGAGAAAGGTTGAAAAGTTGTTAGCCTCAACAAAAAAAGCATTCACCATAAGGCGTTTGGTCAGATTTTGTGAAGTTTGTTGAGCCACGCCCCCAATTTTTTTTTTCACCTCTTCATACAAAAACAATCATTTTACTCTGTCATTATAACTAGCTTTGATAAAACGTCTTTCTCTTAGCAAGAGTATCTCTGTTAATAAATAAAAAAGGATGGTTTTTTTTCCTTTTTACAGCCTTAAGATGAAAAGTGACTCTATTGAAAAATGAAATTATTTTATGATCAGCTTAAAAGTTCAAGCCTTTTGTGTATGTGTTTTTACATGGTAAGATATCAGTTGAATAGAATACAGAAAGGTAATTGAGAAATATATTGCCTTGCTTTGTTTCCTCTAGAACATTTGCCAATTTTCTCCATTTTAGATATGAAGTATAAAATGATTTATCTACAGAAGGGAATCTTCTGCAGTCAAGTTCCAAAAACAACAGTCTATTTTTATTTTCAATATTTAACTAAGTCAATTGTAAATTTATATTCACCAATTATAGCACAAAGTGACACATTGGTTATATATGATTATAATTGTTTTGAAAATCTTCAGGAGATTTGGATAATGAATAAATCATGAACACACCTTGGATGATATTAGTGTAAAGAAAGTTTTTTTTCTCTCTCTCACACATACAGAAGCCATTCAATTATAAATGTTTGGTGAATTCTTAATATGTCTTACTGGGCTGATCTTCAATATTTACTTTGTTTCATCAGATTGTTTGAAAATTTTCATTTTACCATTGATGGTCAATTTACCACATATTAAGTGGATATCTTTGTTCTTTTACTTCATTCAGTGCAGGACTGGATATCACATTTGAATATCTGCTAACTATATTCTCACACTTCAACAACTGCTTTTGTAAAAATGTCTAAAATTGGAAGTTTTTATTTTTTAAAATTTTTATTCAACCTTTAAAGTGATTTAGCATTACTTAGGACAAAGTCTATTTCAGGATGAGTACATAAATTGCGGTTATTTTCAAATTTTGTGTATTTGTAATGATTAATGAAGGTACAGTGAAGTAATGGATAGCAGCTCAGATTGAGAAATCATAGAGTCTAGTTTGATTTCCAGTTGAGTTCATTACATTCATTTACATGCAAATACCCTTGGGAAAGATATTAATCCTTCTGTTTCCCCTCCAGGTGTGGGTAAATAGTAATACAGACTGGTTCCTATAGCCTTGGGTGGCCACCAGTCTAAGAGAAAGACAACTCTGAATTAAAAACCTCCAACTATGAGTTACATAGTCTCTCCAACCTGCAATTGGCCAAGCATGGTGGGTAGTGTTAAATGCCTGAAGACATGGTCAATCAAGTTGGAGTTTCTCCAACAGGAGGGAGAAGGCCCTGAATTTGGAATGGTTAATGAAAATTGGTATACTAATTTTGAAATTTGACTATTTACACTTCTTTACTTATTTATTGTTAGATGTGTTTATATATAGTCCAATGTGTGAGAGGCTGGCACAGACACAGATGTTGCTTGTAACAATCTGTCTCAATGGGTTTCATGAAACACTGCATGAGAGTTTGACTATTGAGCATAGAAAATCAATGATCTTCTGAGACTTCATACTGATATGTGTACACACACACACACACATATATATATATATATATATATATATACACATGTTCTTGGCTTCATATTTTCATAATATTAGGTAAACCATTGAAGTTTACTGAGATGATTGTTGCTTGTATAGTCACTGTTGTATATTATTTACAAGCCTTTGGAAAAAATTTTTAAAAAATAAGAAAGCTAAGAAAATGTATTTCAGATAAACTTTCTGAAACATCTGCCAGCATTTAAAAATGTCTTCTTTTCTTGCTCAACACAAAAAATGCCGTTTTTGAAGAAGTTAGTTAAGGGATTTATTAAGAGAATTCAAACGTGTCTTGTAACATAGTTGCAGTCTGCCTACCAGAGCCAGATGGGTACAGGAAGTTCCTGAGAATTTGATCATCATCCATTCTTACAATTTACCTAAACCAGCACAAGTATCTTTGAGCATGTACATGCTGGAAATCCTAGCCCTTTCAAAGACAGTGTTGCTAGGTACTTTTGTCATGTCAAAAAAAATGTTCCAGATATGTTGGAAGCAGCATATGTTGAGTTTCTGTTCTGGTCCAGCACACAGTGTCAAAGTTTCACATGGTTTCACAAAATGGTGCTTATGATAAAAGCTTTGTAGATCAGGACCTTGGTGTCAGCTTGCTCTTGTCCCATACAGTCTAGACATGGAAGTAGTGATCTTGCCAATATGCTTGTTTAGCTCAGTATATATTCTCAATAACTTTTGTATATTTTTGTTAATAACCTTTTCTTTGTAGCGACTTAAAGACTACCACCATGTTAAATACCATTTCATAGTCAACCAAAGCTAAATAAAGTGTTTTGTTGGTCTATTGTTAAGAAGCCATTCTTAAAGCTGATCTCTTTACATGGCTGGTTTTCATCTTGTCTATTTGTTAATCTGTCTTTAAGTACTTTTGAAAATAATTTGTATATATTTGATTGTGATTTAATTGTGAGATAGGTGCTCAAGTTTTTATTATCTTCTTATAAAAGTAGGATTACTATTTCTAGACTGAAGTTTTAAGGTACTTTAATTTTCTGTGTGAACTGGGTAAATAAATGTGCTAATCCTTTGCAGAATATTTCTCCTGTATCTTTTTTAAAAGGTCTGTTACTATGCCATTTTTGTCTGATACTTTTTGTTTTAAAATGCAAACCTCATTTCATTTATTACATCAGAAACGCCACTACTATTTGCTGATGAGATTATTTTCTAAGTTAACAATTTGGTATTCACATTTTCTATGCTATTTTCATTATACCACAAAGCCTGGAATCTGTTCTTGATTTCTGTCCTAAATTTAGTGATGATCTTATTACGGTGTTTGTATTGGATAAAATGATAAAAATAGTTTTATGGTATGTTATATCTATGGATAAATGTGCTCATGATCAGGAATAGACTGTGTGTTAATATGAGTGGACACCTAATGACAATAATCTGTTTCATGCTTGAATGCAATCTTCAAACTGTGTTAGATCGTAGCTTGACTATTTATATATGCTTCTCAAGTGGACATGGGTAGTGAAGTGAGGTATTTCCAGTTTATGTTATCCTAACAGTTGCTGGCTAGGCAAGAACGGTTATATTTTAAGCTAGCCTAGAAGCTGCCCTTTGGGTGTACTTTAGGTTAGCTCCAGCAGAGGACATTTAAGTTTTCGGCATTTTACCTTTATCATCCTATGTACGTAAATTTATAAGAATTCTTTATGATCCCTTCGCATAAAGTCACTCGTAAAAGATAATTAGGGAACCCAGACTATTTCAAATATGTCACAGTATGCATGATAGAAAGAAAAAAAACATGAGCAACATACTGTGCCCTACTTAAGTTTTAATTATGGTTTTAAAATTAACAATTGCAATTGTGATGAAAAGTGAAATTAAAGTTAAACCTTTAATAAAGAATGATTTTTAAACTTTCAATATTTAACTTTAAATAAGTTATTTATTTTTTTTTTAATTGTGTGTAACTCCAGTAGTTACTACCAATTACTTCAGGTTGTTTATGATTCACCGAGTTTAAAAATGAATGCCAGACACACATACATTGCTTTATTTATGTAGATTATTCTAATGGTTATTGAATAGAAATAATTATAATAATTTTCTCTGATTTTATTTTCCTAATAGAAAAAGTGTCAAATTTACAAATGATAGCATTTTCCTGGATTTTGCCCTATTCATTATATACAGCAATAATATGATTTTTGCTGAGAGCTCTTTTAAAATGTGTCCTACATTTTAGACGAGTTTGTCTTTGGTAATCAAGTTGGACAATTGAAATAAATTAAGCTTACAATATTTTATAACTTTCAATTTTAGATTTCTGATAGTTTGCTTGAAAGAATTTGGTTTGTCTCTGCAAATCCAAGCAACCAGATAGCCTCATTTATATAGTTAACATCATGTCTCATCAACATATTACTCTCTTCACACGTCTATGCATATATATATATATATATATATATATATATATGTGTGTGTGTGTATATATATATATATATATATATATTCAAACATTATTGTTAAATATAACTGACAGTGAATGTCTATTATGTTTGATCATGAGCCGTTCTGAACTTCGTATAGTGGCTTTAGTTTCAGGAGAAAATAAAGACAAAAACTGTCCAGCGTTTGGATATTGTTTTATTATATTTTCCCTCAATCTTTCAGCTCAAATGAGCCATCATCAGAGTGGTTATATGGACATTACAACAGCAGCAGGCCTAGAAATTGATTCAATATAATTGTTCCATTTCATGTTGATGGAAGGCATGAACCTAGGAAGACACAAAGATTTGCTCTCTTGGAGGTTAACATCAGTGATGCTGATGCTAGGTGGAAAATGTTCTCTATGGTGATTAAATGAAATCAGCTTATTGGAGGTGTTAAAATTTACAAGCCATTTCTTTGCTCCAGTTAACTACTGATTGGAGGTCCTTTTCAGGGACAGTTGCCAGTTTTTATATTTATTGAACCTAATTAGACAGGAGTAAATAGTTATGTCATCAGCATAAATACCTAGTTGGGAACTGGTGACATTGGGAAGGTTGTTGATGAAAATAAGAAACAACATAAAGTCAAGTATAGAGCCCTGGGATATCACCTGATTTAATGTGAAATGAACTAGAAACGTTTTGATCTATTCACCAGTTTGTGTATGCACATCATTCAAACACTCTCTTTGCTTTACATGTTTGTTTATTTTTTCTTCACTTTTACAGGTTGAAGTAATTTTTTTATTCTTGTATTAACGACTTAATTCTTCTTTATTTTGCAGGAAATCTTTGATGTCTCTTTTGCAGATGAACGTATCAAAGCTACTAGTGTTACACATCTGGATACAGGTTCACAGGCTGTGATGAACAGTGCTACATATTCAGATGGTCGGCACCATCTGTTGGCCATAGGAATGGACAATGAATGTCACTTGTACTCTCTCAAGTATAAAGTTGTACAAACAGAGGACAAAAAATCAGGTGAAACAACAAGTTTATTTCTTTACAAGAGAAAATTTAGACAAACTGTACACTATCATCTGTACAACAGTATTTCTGGACTGTTTATAGTCCAGGTGAGTTTTGCTATGAAAACCTAGCTTCATTTTTTTTTTTTTTTTTATATATTTATTTTATCTGGATAACTCCTTTTTATTTTTTTTTCTAGGGACTTCTTACAGCCATAAGCATTCATGCTTTGTTTTTGGGACTATTTGGTCTAAAACCTAACAATGATCATAAAAGGCCAAATTCAAAAATTTTTTTTTTTTTTTTAAAGGTGGTCATCTTTTTGGTTGCCTGTGTTACCAGCAGTTTCATATGATAGGCTAAGCAGAAAATGACAGGAATGTATTTATCCACATTATTTGGCTGAATGAGCTGCATTTAGTGATCCTTACAGCAGTTGTTTTCTTTTTTTTTCTTTCTTTCTTTGTAAGTTTGTTTTGAAATTCGATGCATTGCAGTCATCTCTTTTTAGTGGATCTAATTTCAAACTTATAACATCTGTTCTCAAATGTTTTACTCAGATGAGAGATTGTCAAGTGCAAAAATAAGTTTCCTTTTAATCAAAAAGTATCTGAAATCAATTAAAGATAATTTTTGTAGAGTCTGAGTAGGATTTTTCAAAATTGGGTGATTCTTTTTCAAATGGATTTATAACCAGAGCACATTAGAATTTTTTAAATATGTAATTATCAGTGATTATTAACTTGAGTGTTGTCCATCATAGGATGGAGTCTTAATCTTAGGAATATACTTCTTCCACTAATATGGTTTTCTGTCATTCTTGATTGCATCATTGTCTGAATGCTATAGACTTGAGAAGAGTAGAAAGAACCCTCCATTCACTATAATTCTCAATTATAAATTCTAGATGAGCCTACACAGGCAAGGAATCTCTGACATAAAGCAAATAACAACTGTTTATTGCCATGACCATTCCAGAATACAGAGGTGCAATAAGCATTGAATACACTTTCTCATACGTAGAAGAATGCGCTCATCAAAAGTAAAGAATACTTTCTGACAATGTCAAGTCTTCTTTTCTTGAATAATGCAGTTTGAAAATGTTTTGGAATGTGTGATGAAAAGAATGAGAATAAATCCTCTTTTTTTTTTTTTTTTTTTTTTTTTTTTTTCATGGTCAGGTGAAGGCAAATAATTTTATATTTAAGTTCAGTACTAATGCTACTACTGCTACATTTCCTTGGGTGGGGTTTCTGGGTAAGACGTGACAAGGGCAGGTAACCCAGGTCACTTAATTAAGATATTAATGATACCTAATTGATACCAGCAAAATGTACCTTGCACCACTTTATGCTGGTATATTTTGGTATTATGTACATAATAAAATATGAAGTGTCTGATGTACACTTGTAGATATGAACAACATAATGCATTGTGTTTTATGTGTTACAAAGTAACAATTTCTGTTGTTCAATCATGATCACCTATCTATATGAACACAAGTATTTCTTTCCTCTTATTTCATTTGTTTTTTATCACAAATTATCATTTGGGGGATCATTGGTTTATAATCTATTTAATCCATTTAATCTTTTGTGTTGAAGCCATTAACAATGCAGCAGTGATAATAGAATTGTCATAATGTTTATGTGAAATATGTATGGGACAAATTTCAGCTTTTATTTACCAGTTAATATTTCCAGTTTTTTGTAACAATATTTTTTTTTGGTGTGTGTGCCTCAAACACGAATCTTTTACCATTTTCCTGCTGACAAAACACAAACTTGCCACGGCCCCTGTAATTCCCAAACGTCCATGTGTAGAACATATTTTTATTATTCTAAATATCCTTAATAACTGAATTTATGATGTGTCAAGATATTGTATGGGATTTCTTTAAATTTATGTTTGCTTTATTATTTTTCTTTTATTCCAAAGAAGGTGAAGCGAGACATCGCAAAACAAAAAAGTCTGATGAGAAAGAAAACAGCAAGAATGGACCTGCAAAAATTGTGACGTTTGATGTGGAATCCTTAGGATTGGTCTGCAATGAAAGTGAGACCGAGTTCCAGAAAGTTGTACAGTTTAGTCCTGATGGTAGTTTGTTATTCACTGGTAGCACAGAAGGAATCTTACGTGCATGGGAGGTGAGTGGCTTTACTTATTATACTTAAATTTAATGTTCTTTCCTGCTTACTCTATTATTCAATAATTAGATGAATTAGTTGCAGTAAAATGTTAAAATTTAATTACGAGTCTCTGTTAAAAACTTTCTTACTGTAGTTCCATTTCAACTACTCCATCCTTCAAATAGTTAAGTTAATACCGATATCATTTATGGAGTCTACTTTAAAGACACTAAAATGGAAAGATTTCATCAGTGTATTGGAGAATAGTCAAAAGGGTCATTGCTAAAGAATGTTTACTTTATTTCTTAACTATCTTTATCTTTTTTTCTGTACAATAATATATGGATGTAAATATAAAAAAGAACTAACAGCAATTCATATGAAAATAGGAAATAAGAACTTTTACATTTTTCATCCAAGTGGTTTATGACTGTGTGTGGGGAAAACAGTCTGCAATAATTCCATCAAGCCCCTGCCCTGTATACATGTGCTATATCAATGGCATATTCATATTAACAAGCAGTTTAGAAGAAATTAAAAAAACTGAAAGAAACCTTTGAGAATAGCTCTGTTCTACACTTTATTTACAAACACATCATTAACAATAATATCCCTTCCATCAACATATTAGTCTATGCCAGTAGCTATAATTTTACCACCTTTATTTACAAAATACCCACTAGCAGAAACTTGTGTTTACTCAACTATAAAAAGAATGTTCTCGCAGATACAAAATAGCTGGATTTACCTAGCCAAAGCAATATCTTCTTCTGGCATATTATTCTATAAGGAACTTAGTAACATTAAACAAAACCTCATCAACAATAATTTCCTAACCATGTTGTTAATGAACAAATAAAATTTAGAAAAAAATGAAGCCAGACTCCTCCCAGACACAAAATAAAATAAACACGCCATTAACTTATTCTATTGTAACCAAATGCACCCTAATTATAAGCAGGATGAAAAAGCAATTAAAAAAATAATTTGCTGGTGTATATCTCTCAATGATCCTAACAAATACCTAAGATTTATCATCTATTATAAAAAGTTTAAAACATCTAACTTAATTGTTACTAACAACACCAGGGCTTCATAAATTCCATTATGTAAAAATAATGTCTATGATTTCTGATGCCCCCTTGAACATTGCATCTCCAACACTAATAATCAAAAAACTTATATTAAATACTTATATTGGGCACCCATGTACTCTCTAGCAGATTGATCTGTCATCTGTCAGAATTCAGTGTAATCCATACACACTTCAACCAACACATCATGTACAACCAAAATGCAATATAAGACATAATAGTTGATAACACCAAAATACTCTACAGTACCCAATGCAAGAAAACATTCAAAACTCTAGAAGCTTTTATTATACAAAATAAACTGCTCACATTAAATAAAATGTGATTCATCACAGGAGTAGTTATCTTGAAGTGCATATGATACAATTAATTTGAACATATATTTTATTAATATTATAAAAAAATTAAAATGAATAAATAATTCACATACTTTTTGTGTAGCTTTGTTTCCAATAGCCATTACACATGTCATCACGCTAGACTATTTCAAATGTCCAGCTTCCTAAAGAATGACAGATGCAGACAAAAGAATTCTACCACACAGACACCATAACAAAAATTACAAAATATGAATTTCAGACAGTTTCTCCACAACTTTGAGCACAATACTCAACACCTTATCTAAAAATTGGAAAAGTACAATAAAAAAAAATAAAAATGTTGATTCTTTTTATTCAAAAGTCTGTAACACCATAGCTGAAACAATCTTAATTATAGCAACAAATGTAACTCTATTGGTGACAGATGGATTTGTTTGAGTTTTTGTTTCAGAAAGCCCTTTGATCTAAAAAGTCTTCTGTCTAAGAAACTTGAATCTGATGCAGACAACTTCAGGCTCTTAGAGATACTTCTTTGGCCAAAATCTGGAATTAATTTGTCATTTTCTCCTCTCCTGGTAAATGTGCCAAGAGAGCAAAAGGCCTGTACCAAATTATACATTTTCAAGTTAATAATCAGGTTTGATTCCTTAAGAACTACACAGTCCATCTAATTTCTCAAAACTAATTAACTTTCTTAATTAGTTCTTTTTCATTATTTACACTTTTTATATGTGGACTATTGTCTTCATCTTTGTTGATGTTATCACAATGTTTTAGCTGTTGTGCCCTCCAGCTTTCTTTTTCCACATTTAACTCCATGCAATCAACCTTTCTTGTGTTTTACCCTGATTCTGTCATAAGACCAGGCTTTTTTTTTTACCTTCAGCTCCTTATACACTGTCAAGCCTCCTTTGGGATCTACTTGCCCTGAATGAGTAGGTTGGCACCCACTTTGTCACAAATTCAGAATATCTATCAAGAAACCTGAAAACTGTTTTGCATATTATTTTTTAAAGTTTAATAATAGTGTTAAATTCTAATAAAATTATTTTTCTCTGCTTCATTTGGTGCAGAGCTACATTTACAGAATGTCCTTTGAATAACCTCTTTATTTAAATCTTATCTGCAATTTTAGCTTGTTATTAAGTAGGTTGAAGCATGCAAAGTGTGGCTCACTGTGAACTTTAAACCCATGCAGTTGCTTTCATTGCAGCTTAAATCTCTGCTCTTTCATCTGTGCTTGTAACCAAGAAGATTCTATTGGTAGTTGTTATATATCTTTTTATTAAAAATATTACAAGTTAATCTTGTTGAAAAGTGATTGTAAATAATAGTTGCTACAATTAATTTTTATAGCTTATACATGAAGATCTTACTGTATTTATGTGTACAATGTGATCATGTGTATAGTTCAGGGGTTCGTAACTTTTGTTTTTTTTTTTTTTTGTTTTTTTTGTGTCATTGCCACCTGTGTAGTAAATATTCAAATGTATACTAAAATTGTTTGGTAAAATTTTGTTACTGGTTCATAAACTGATTTTATGATGTAGTAAAAAATACTAAAGGGAAGTAACAAATAACACTGTAACAAAAGCAGACTTAACTATTGGAAACTAATATATATATATATATATATATATATATATATATGGGGAAAATTGTGAAAATGGCTTACCTCGAAACGCGTCGAATCTGGGCGCAGTATACAAACTCTCGTCCTTCCAACTGTAAAAGAAAACCAAAATGGCGGCGCCCACGTTTTTATGCCAAGCGGTCTCGGTTAGTTAACGCGAAATCTTGTTGTCTTGTCATTCGCATGCAAATCGTGGTCGGTCCGCTGGCTGTATAAAAGCAGGCTCGTTTTGCTGTTTCAAATCAGAAAGCCTTCGCTCGTGAGAAGGTTGGACGTGCAACACCGTGTTTCTTTTTGTGCCTACCTGTTATCATCAGTTGAATTGTTGCGTTACACACCACAAGCTATTTGGCAATGGACAAGTTCGATCTAAAATTGATCCCAGAATTGACGGCTCCCCACGGGCCCGACTACTATCGAATGGTTTGAAAAGGCTGAACGTGTTTGCAGGGTGTCCAAAATAAAGGAACCTGCACTAGTCATCCACTGAGACTCACGGGAGGAGCCTCGCGAGTATATCAACAACTCGGGGACGATGCTGACCTGGAAGAGATCAAGGGCGCCCTGTATACGGCCTTTGGAATAGATCCATTCATCGCTTGGAAACAGTTCGCCGGACGACGGGCTCGAGCCGGTGAGACCGTGGATGTTTACCTGGCTGATTTGCGAAGGCTGGCAGTACCGTTTGGCGGACAACGGACCGCATACTGGGGTGCGCCTTCCTGGCAGGGCTTCCGGCGACACCAGTCGGCTCCTGCGGCGTCTTCAAGATTGGACACACTGGGAATTGACGAATTGCTAGCCAGGGCCCGAAACATCTTGAAGGACACGGAACAGATCGCGGCAGCCGTGAGAACGCCTGAGACACCGAGGGAGGGCCCAAAGTGCTACAAGTGCGGTGGACCCAACCATTTCTCTAGGGACTGCGGAGCTGAAGTGGCGTGGGGAGGGAGCAGCAGGCGGAACCGAAGCACGACTTCGCTGCTATCGCTGCAAAGAGTTAGCCATGTAGCACAGGATTGCTCGGGAAACGAGTCCGGGGACAAGGTGCTGTCGCAACCCTTGCCGCCTCTCGGTCAGTAAATGCGGCATTGCCTGTTGTCAACGTGTCGTTGAGGGTAAACGATGTTATTTTTCGTTGACACTGGATGTTCCCGATCGATCGTTAGTGCGGATCGATCGTGACATGGAACAGTCAACAAATCGAGATTCGGACGATTGACGGGGTGTCCCGGGCTTGTTGTGGTGTCGGGACTGTGTCAGTCCTAACAGACGGAGGGAGTCATGCCAAAGTCGACGTCTTGGTGGCACGTCAAAGGCCCCTCGGTACGACCTGCTACTTGGGATTGATGCGATCTGAGCGTTAGGAGGCATGATGATCCGCCAGCCGGAAATGTGGAACTGGGTGAAAGAAGAAAGGTGTGTGCAGCCCTTTGCGTTAGTGAGCCAGATTTCGGCGTCTCCTTCAATTCCGGCGAGAGAGTGTGGACCGCCAGGGGAAATGGGCCCAAAAAAGACCCGCCAGTTCAGCTTCGCAACAAGGTCGCTGAGTACAAAGTTCCAGACAGCATCAGAGGAAAATACGAGAAAGAGCTTCAGCAGTGGATTGTGAAGGGCTGGTTGATTCCGTACCCCAGGAAAGACTGGGACCCCCAAAGGGTCTGATTCCCTTGATGGCAGTCGTGCAGGAGCAGAAACAGAAGGTGCGTCCCGTACTTCGATTACCGCTGAATTGAGCGACTTTGTGGATGCTTTCACTGCCGATGCAGAAGTGTGCGCACATAAGTTGAGAACGATGGCGGCGGCAGGGAGTCAATGTGTCGCTTCTGGATCTGCGGGCATATCTTCAGATTCACATCGATGAAGCGCTGTGGCCATTTCAAACGGTTATTTTCAAAGGCCAACGCTTCTGTCTTACGCGGCTAGGATTTGGGCTAAATGTAGCGCCACTCATCATGAAATCCGTTATAG